TATTAAGGACAATAATTCACAGCAAATCAAATCTTAGATTTACTGAATCAATTTGTCATTACTACTGTATCACATCTATATATTCAGTTTCCTTTTTTGTATTTGGATTCTAATTGCAGAGACTTGTATATATTGTGCAAGTTGTATGAATAACATAAGACATTCAGAATCAAGAGCCTTGCATCCTAATAGTGGTATCAGAGCCATCATCCCTCTCACGTGCTCGATCATGGCCACTCCTAATAATTCCCCAAACTCTGCTGCCTCAAAAACCTCCACAACTGCTGCTGTCACTGTCCTCAACTCAGGCCTAACCAATGGCCCACTTTCCTTCAACTCAGCCGCGTTTCCGATGAAACTAACTCCCACAAATTATTTATCTTGGAAAGCTCAATTTACCTCTTTGCTTGCAGGTTATGAACTTGATGGCTATCTTGATGGCAGACATCCCTGTCCAGTTGCAACAGCACCTGAATACAGCTTATGGGCACGCCAAGATCAACTTCTGCGCCATGCCCTCATCACCTCCGTATCGGAGAATATTACCCCATACATTGCTGCTGCTGCTACAGCCCAACAGGCGTGGGAAACCTTGGCCAAACTCTATGCTAATCGTTCCCGCACTTGGGTAATCACACTGAAGGAGCGACTTCAAAACATGAAGTGTGCTGGGCGCTCCGTCTCGGAATATCTACGAGACCTAAAAACAGTTGCCGATGAACTTGGGATCGTGGATCGACCATTAACCGACGATGATCTAACGGTATACATCCTCAACGGGTTGGGACCAGAATTTAGAGAAATTGCTGCGTCTCTCCGAGCCCGCGATTCATCTCTTTCCTTTGATGATTTGCATGACCGACTTGTTGCTCATGAAGAGAGCCTTCATAGGGAAGACAATCGAGTTGATTTAACTCCAGCAACTGCTCACTTTGCTGCTGCCCCGATGGCACCTCGCTCTGGTATGCATTCTTCCTCTTTTATGGGTACCGGCGCCTCACAAAATAGGAACTCTGTTTTTTTGCAGCCACCGAAC